AAAAAGTGTACTACACGTGCACACACTACAGAATGGATGCATATAACACAATGCTGTATACACACAGTCCAGATCTGTACACACAAAGTGAGGTACGGACACACGCAGCACAGCGCAGACACAGTATACTATCCAGTGCGGTGTAACCGGTCCGAGAGCAGGACAAGGAAAGGGTCAGACGCAAAGACGAGCGCGCCACCTTTCTCTCCTCGTTTCGGGTTTTTGGGGAGCTCGGAAGAGAGGCCCTGCTCTCTCCTGGCCTCCTCTCTTTCTCTGGGAAACCCATTGTGCACCGGGGCAAAAAAACGATGAACAGAGGCCGGAAATCGCCGAGGACCATGTCGACGAAGAAGGTTGGGGAAAAAAAAAACCACGGACAGCGAATATATATAAATACATCTATTTTTCTTTTTAAAGAAGAATGCTGTCGGTCTGGATCCAGTCAGGGAGACAGCAGCTTACAGGCAGAATTCATTTCAAAGACTTGGGCGGCCGAGCGCCAGACTGCCTTTGTTATTAATATGATTCTGATTAATCGTCATTTCTTTCTGGGGTTCGTTTGTTTGGAAAATGGACACAAACGTTTGGGGGGGTGGGGAGGCGAAGGAGGGGGAGGGAGAGAGAGAGAAATTTATCAAAGGGGGCTGTCTTGTGAACCCCGATCCAGAGCCCCCACAGACAGATCTCCCTCCTTGTGTGGAAGACTGATATTCCTGGGGGGAGGTAGTGGGCCGGGCAGAATGATAAAGTAAGGGCGACGCAGCGTGTGAAAGTTAAGACAAAGTGCTTGTGCTGTTGTTGCTGCTGTTGTTGTTCCCCATTAACACTGAACTGCTGCCCTGAGCTGCGAAAATGGCCTAATCCGAACACAGACAAAACAAAAAAACTGTTTTGGAAAATGAAGAATAATTCAGATGAACCAGCGGCAAAGCCAAGGTGGGGGAAAAAAACAACAACGAAATTTCAATTGGACTTGCACCGCCATCTTAACGCCCGCGGAAAAACAAAACCTGTCAACCGGCCGCCAAACACGTGAGTGAAGCCGGACTCGAGAGAGGCGGGATTCGGAAGCACTCAAGATGGCGGCCGAACCGCCGCTCTGCCGACACACGCCGGAGAAACAGGAAACAGGAAACAGGAAACGGAAACGGAAGCCTCCCGACACCCGGGCTCTCTCTGCGCGCCAAAAACACCGGCGCGCGCGCGCGCGCGTCTCCCGGGGCGACAGCAGCAACGGCAACAGCGCGCGACTCGCGCTCCCTCCTCCCCCGGCGGCGTCGAATTATAAATAGAAATATATTTTTTAAAAAAAGGGGGACGAACTATCGGCTGAGAGGTGTATTCTGGCTAGTGTGGTTTATTATCGTTATTACCGTTTTAAACACGAAAACAAGGTCTAATAATACTTGATTCACGATGAAATCTGCAATTTAAAAGAGAGAGAGAGAGACGTGAAGTAACCTTCACCTGCAAATATCCGAAAACTCGCCCAGTTTATCCGAGGCGTGTGGAGGACGTGAAAGGGACATCGTTTTGTTTCTGTTTTGTTTGTTGTTTTTTTTTGCGTGGGGGATAGGAAGAGAACCGATGGGGACAGGGAGAGATGAAGAGACGACGTTCGTGTGAGTCCGATTACTTTGTTTTTGCTTTTTTTTTTTTTAGGAGAAAACGGTTTGGACAGACAAACACGACAACCTTAAAGACCTGGGAGTTACGGAACATTTCTTTAAAAAAAAAATATGAACATGATAATATTACTGTGTGTTTACGTTGATCATTTCCTTGGTTTTCTTAACTTTGTTCGATTGTATGTGTTTTATTATTTTTTTTTAAATAAGGTAATGTTGCATTTCTCATTGTACCGTTAAAATGCTTAACAGTTGTTGCGAGACGGGCTCTTTGGAGGAGGAGGAGGAGGAGGAGGGGGGCGGGGACGTCACTGGGCGGGGACGGGCACGGCGAGGGGCCGTGACGTCATCGCAAGGCGCCGCGGCGACCCCGCCCCACCGCGCTCAGAGAAGGGCGGCTCTTGGTCTCTCGAACCCTTTCTCGTTTC